ATCTCTAAGTTCTTATCTAAGGTTGGTATGCTCAGTGAATATACTTCAAAGTCTTGTTGTTGTTTAGACAATTTCCACACAGCTACAATTTCTTTAAGATGATTTTGTCACTGATATTTGGATGAAGTGAAATAATTTTGTAATTATATGAAAAATAATAATTTAATTCCTTGCAAGAAATACCTTTTCAGAAGACTGAATTGTTTCTACTTATATCCCCTCAATTCATTTGATGTTCTTCTTATAGGCTATTAATATTGGAATAAAAATAAGAGATCTCACACACAGAACATCTCAGAGTGTACCCCATTGTATACTAATTCTAGGGCTTTTATAAGTATAAAACAAAAGGGTTCCACAATAAAATGAGTTTGAAAATTTTAGTTTGATTACAAAGTTAAATCAATTTCCAAACTACAGGACTTCATAGAACTTCTAATATGTTTAACTTCATTGAGAATCTACCACAGGAATGAGATGCACATTGAAGAACTTCCCAAATTTATTTGAGCACAAAATCCTTTTGAAGTGACACATGAATTGACACTCAAGCTTTTAAAGCACACTTTGAGAGACATTACTCTAAGCCAGCGCTACAGGTGCAAAAACAGAAGACCAAAGATGCACAAGACTTGTCACAAATCAATTAGATAGAGTTAGTGCTAGCTGCCTGAGTCTAGAATTCAGCTCTCCTCTCTTTGAGTCCAATGTCTTTCCACTTTAATGCTTCTGCTACTTTTTTTCCTTATCTACTACCTCCCCTTAGGGGGAAAAACACCACACATACACAATGAGTTAATTCTCTGTAAAAGGTATGAAAGTTTTTTCACTGACAATTATCTTCTCAAATGTCTGGCAAAGACTATGTGAAAAGGGGACTAATATTTTAAATTTTAAATCACAATTTATCAAGGAGCTTTGACAACTAATGGCTAATTTTATCTCTCTAGAGATGACAATCAGATAATACTGGATTCAAAGTTTCTAGTATTGTGAAGAAAAAGGAAAGAATATTAGATTTCTTTAATCTGCGTAGCTCTATGTATCACCATGATAGGGCTTAATAAAGACTCATCTATGAAAATACATATAAGAATTTGAAAATCATCAAATTCTTTATCTCTGACCATCTGTCCTATGCTTGTCCAATGTCAAGGTCAAGATATAAACCTATTTAGTCTGAGACTACAACACTAAGCAACTGGTAAAATTTATAAATCAGATGTCATGGCCATTCCACAAAATTAAAAAAAAAAAATCTAGGGGGCAGTAATATATGCCAAGTAGCAATGGGAATTCAGGAAATGATTTTGATAAACAGAACATATGTCATGGATCTGGGTGACCTATGAAACATCAGAGAGGTCTGGCATTATAGTGATCTTATTTGAAATCCAAGAGGTTTATGAGAAAGTTGACAGGCAGGATAAATCTAAAGGTCAGATGCTGCAATGTTACCTAGCTTTTCTTTTCTTTTTTTTTTTTTTTCTGCCTCATTTGTTTAAGTGGGGAATAAGCGTAAAAGGAATCTAAAAAAGTTTTGCTGTAAAGAATAAATGAATATAGGATTAAGTTTCATAAAAGAGTTAAAGTAAAATGGGTAAAACATCTCCAAAGACTAAAAAGAGAAGTAGTAAGATAAAATTCTTCAAATACATGTAGAAGAGAAAATTAGCCCTCAGCTTTCTGATTCCAGGGGGAGGTCTATGAACACAAGGTTGGAATTTACAGAGAAAGATATACAACATAATTTTAAGGAAAATTTTCTAATAATGGCTAGTATCTAAGTGATAGACTTGGAGAGAGGTATTAAGGTCTCCATCTTTAGTGGGGTTCTAACAGAGAAGCTCAGGTAGCATAGTGCCTAAGGTATTTGACTGCTAACCAGAAGGCTGGCATTTCAAACCCACCAGCCAATCCTTGGAAGGAAGATTGGGCAATCTACTTCTGTAGAGATACTGCCTTGAAAACCCAAGGAGGGGCTGAGGAGGGGTTACAATGAGTTGACTTGACTTGAGGGCAGTGAGTTTGGTGTTTGGTAACATAGATCAGACCACTTTTCATGGTTGCTTTTCTACAGGATTATAGCATACAAAATGAGAACTGAAGTAGGAACGACTTAGGGAAAAAAAGTACCCCACATATATGGCATGATTCAGGCAGTGTCCAACATTATAACTTTTTCCCTTGAGAAACTGAGAGGGTTATTACTAAGACTCCCAAAGGGGAAAAAAAAAAAAAAAAAAAATAAATAAATAAATAAACACTGAGCTCCTGTAGTAGCCACCATGATACAGAGCAGATGCTGAAAGATTTCCTGAGTTGTGACAAATCAGCCACCAACGGTTGAGGAAATTAATGGAGTTTCATTTCAGACTGCTAACTTTGAGAACTGTGAGACAACAACATATGGGAGAATTTTTCCTAGGGAGTGAGAAAAGGAAGTGGCACAAAGTGCATTAGAAAGAACAGCCTATTTAGAGAAAAATATACAGAGCATGATGCAGCTGGTAAATCATAGATAGAATCTAAATCTTTCATAATTTCTTTTTCAGAGGAGAGTAAAAAAGGAAGATGAAGAAGATATGTTGGGTAGCAAAGGGAAGAGGAAGTGGATAGAAGTGACAGAAGAGAGTATTAAATATTTTTAGGTTGAACAAGATAATTGGTCTTTTTGGATGGCTTTTTTTTTTTTTCTGTATTCTCTTTTTCAGGGCCATTTTTCTTTCAGAATATTATAACACGAATCATTTTCTTTAATTTCCAGATTCAGCCTGACAGTTGCCTTGGAAGTTCTAATTATGTTTTCCTTACATAAGAGAAGAGAGATCTATTACTGTAGAAGGTTCATTTTTTAAAACTATGCTTTAAAACCTAAAACAGTTAAGGATTATGTCACAGCTATTTTTGAAATCATATCTACAATGATTATCAAGAGAATGGTGATGAAAGAAATGTGTGGTGGCTGGAAAAACCTTTGACAGAACTATTTGAGGTTTTTAAGAACTTGAAAATGAATTTGAACAGAGCTTAAAGAAATCATCACACAACATCTGGCATGATGTTTCATTAGCAGCAGTTGAAGAAATAACAGAAGTGTTGTCTGCAACCAAATTCTTACAGAGCAGTGAGTCAAAAGGCCAAATAGGTCACTACCTAAGCCATCTTTCATGCTGGAAGACGGAATTGTCTTTTTCATTTTAAAATATTTCATTCTCAAGTCAACATTTCAAGCAATAAAGGTTATATTCTATGGAGAAGTTGTCCAGATTTTATATCCCAATAAAACCTTTTCTAGTTCAGTAGACATACCACCTTAAAATCTACCTTTTACATCAAAGGTTAAAAAAAAAAGAAAAGAAAAAACAAGCTAAGAAACAATAGTTTCAGAATGCCTCAAGAATGAAAATGACAGTGACTTCAGGTGGCAAAGAAGTCACAACTCTTCTCTGAAACTTTCACTAATGTCATTAATGCCATATGTTTGATAGGGTGTTTTTTTTTTTTTTTTCTGACAGAATTCCTTCCTAACTAGTGGCTATGGCCTGGAACATGGTGTATGCTCAATACATACTTATTAAACAAAATAATGAATGACTGGATGATAAAGGAAGGAAATAATTGACTGAAATTCAAGAAAACAAATGCAAACACCACATATGGGAGGCAGCATTTCTTGATGGTTACAGACTGCCTTAATTTGAAATCCATTTCTATACATTATTAACTATATGGCTATGGGCAAGTTATTAAATCTCTCTATACATCCTTTTGCTTATGTAAAATAGTCTATTGTGAGAAGTGTGCATTAATACATTTTTTCAAAGCACTTTAAAAAGTATATGGAACATATAGTAAATACCAAGTAAATATTAGCTATCAATAATATATAAAGTTCTTGCCCACATAATTCAATATAAAAAGAATAGATGACTATGAAATTAGACCAATGGGGCTAAACACAAACCTTCTAGAGCCCAGGGAGGTGGGAACAATGAATACAAAGCTTTGGGGTTTAACTGTCAAACTTTCCAATATCATATGAATAATTGTTTCTGCTTATACTATATGTTTATCCTCCCCAAATACGCCTCACAAAAATGTTGGAGATAATGCCTTCTTACAGACATTGGTTGGAAGCCCTGTCTTACAAGTGCAAACATTAGACCAGGTATATTTATCTAACTTGAGAACTACTGTCTATTAATTTTTAATTACTTAATTAATTTCCTGTAAATGTGATATAAAGCAGTAAACAGATTACAGATTAAGCAGTTTTGTTAGTGTAACTGCAAATATGTACTGCTTATAACTCCCTTAATGTTTCTTTAGTTTATCATAAAAGTCCATGATTCTGAAAGGGTAGCCAGGTGTCAGAATCAATCACTGCCCATAACATCCAGAAGTAAGCATGAGGCTGTGAGTAAAGCAGCTGTAATCCTGCCTGGGTGGATAGGAGGAAGGGATCTACTTACACATGTGACAGAACTTGGATGATAAATTCAGGGAAGTCAGAGATTGTGTCTACACTGGTTAAACAAAGGATAAGGCAGGACATATGAATGTACCTGTTAATAAATTACACAGCAGTCTTTAGTTATTCAAGTCCACCTCTCTAAAAATCAAAAACCAAACTTCCTGTCGTCAAGTCGGATCCGACTCATAGAGACCCCTTCTTGGGTTTCTGAGGCAGTATCTCTACGGAAGTAGATTGCCCAGTCTTCCATCTCTCTGGCAATGTAAAAATGACAGTGGCTCTAATAGAAGATGGGTTACATTGGAGGAATAACTTGTAAACTCTGTGCCACGTATGTTTGTGAAAACTGGTGAGACTTTACCTTTGTCCATAAAATATCAGAAAATAAGATAGAATTATGTATATACTGTTGAGTTCTCTTACCTCATTATCTGTTCTTTCCTTTCTATTTATATTCATATTCACACAGTAGGAAACAAGGGTTTTATACACACACACAGAATTCTGCTTGAGTCACACTCACCATTAGTAGTCTGTCTCCCACTTGTAGTCTTCCATCTTTTTGTGCAGCTCCTCCATCTATAATTTTAGTTACATAAATGCTGTTGTCTCCAGGAATATGTTGGTTCCCCACACCGCCTGCAATACTAAAACCTAAACCTATAGAAAAGGGACAGAAAATGAAAAGCCTTTGGTTATTATTATTATTTTAAAGACAATGCAATTAGTCATACACACACACACACACACACATATAAATTAATCCTATTTTTAAAAATATGATACTAATAAATGACAATGAAAGCTATTTCAATTGAATTGGTTCTTTATATATTTGAAGACTTGTTGATTAGTGCTAATTAGACAAGGATGAACATAATCCCATGATGGCTGTGTGCCATCTCACAGAGGCCCCATGTACAATGGAATAAAAGTGCTCAGTCTTGTGCCATCCTCATATCATTGCTACATTTGAGCCCACTGTTGCAGCCACAGTGTCAGTCCATCTCATGGAGGCTCTTCTTTGTTGCTGACCTTCTACTTTACCAAGCATGATGTCTTTCTCTAGGGACTGGTCTCTCCTGCTAACATGTCCAAAGTATGTGAGCTGAACTCTTGGCATCCTTGCTTCTAAGGGAAGCATTCTAGTTGTACTTCTTCCAAGAAGTATTTGTTCTTTCTTTTGGCAATTCATGGTATATTTAATATTCTTCACAAAGACCGGAGTTCAAAGGCATCATTTCTTCAGTCTTCCTAATTTATGATCCAGCTTTTGCATGCATATGAGGTGACTAAAAATACCATGTCTTGGATCAGGTGCACCTTAGTCTTTGAAGTGACACCTTTGCTCTTCAACACTTTAAAAAGGTCTTTTGTGGCAGATTTGCCCAGTTGGGCAATCTACTTCTGTAGTGATACCACCTCAGAAACCCAAGGAGAGGTCACTATGAGTCAGGTCCGACTTGACGACACATAACAACAACAACAACATGTTGTTTGGTTTCTTGACTGCTGCTTGCACAAGTATTGATTGTGGATCAAGTAAAATGAAATCCTTGACAACTTTGATCTTTTCTCCATTTATCATGATGTTGCTTACTGGTCTAGTTGTTAGAATTTTTGTTTTGTGTTGAAGTGTAATCCATATTGAAGGCTGTAGTCTTTGATCTTCATCAGTAAGTGCTTCACATATTCTTCACTTTCAGCAAGAAAGGTTGTATCATCTTTGTATCAGAGATTGTTAAAACATTCTTCCTCCAATTCTGATGCCACATTCTTCTTCATATAGTCCAGTTTCTTGGATTATTTGCTCAGCATAAAGATTGAATAAGTATGGTCAAAGGAAACAACCCTGACACAAACTTTTCCTGATTTTAAGCCATTCAATATCTTATTGCTCTGTTCAAATGACTGCCTTTGGTACATGTTTCTCATGAGCACTCCTTTCCTGGTTTTAAACCATGCAGTATCCTCTTGTTCTGTTTGAATGACAGACTCTTGGTCTATGTACAGGTTCCTCATGAGCACAATTAAGTGTTCTGGAATTCCCATTCTTCTCAATGTTACCCATAATTTGTTATGATCCATACAGTCAAATGCCTTTGCATAGTCAATAAAATGCAGGTAAACATCTTTTTTGTACTCTTTTCCTTCAGCCAAAATCCATCTAACATTAGCAAATATATCCTTTGTTCAACTTCTTTTCTGAATGTAGCTTGAATTTCTGGCAGTTCTCAGCCAATATACTGCTACAACTATTTTTTTAAAAATATTTTTGGAAAAATTTTACTTGCATGTCATATTAATGAATAGCTCGATTTCTGCATTCTGTTGGAGCATCTTTCTTTGGAATATGCACAAATATGAATCTCTTCCAGTTGGTTGGCAGGTAGCTATCTTCCAAATTTCTTGGCATAAGTGAGTGAGCACCTCCGGTGCTTCATCCATTTGGTGAAATATCTCAGGGTGTCTTCCATCAATTCCTGGAGCCTTGTTTTCTTGCCAATGCCTTAAGTGCAGTATGGATTTCTTCCTTCAATATAATTTATTCTTGATCATATGTTACCTCTTGAAATGGCTGAATGTGGAATTTTTTTTTTTTTGGTTCAGTGACTCTACTCCTTCCATCTTCTTTTGAAGCTTCCTGCATCATTTAATATTTTACCCATAGAATCTTTTGATATTGCAATTTGCAGTTTGACTCTTTTATTTTCTTTTTTAGCTTTAGAAATACTGAGCTTGCTATTCTCTTTTGGTTTTCTAACTCCAAGTCTTTGCACATCTCATTATAATACTTTGTCTTCTTGAACTGCTCCTTTAAATCATCAGTTCAGCTCACTTACTTCATCATTTTTTCCATTTGGTTTAGCTACTCTCTGTTCAAGATCAAGTTTCAGAGCCTATATAGACATATATTTTGGCCTTTTCTTTCTTTCCTGTCTTTTTAATGGCCTTTTGCTTTCCTCATGTATGATGTCCTTCATGTCATTCCACAACTCTTTTGGTCTTCACCTATCAGTGTTCAATTTGTCAAATCTATTCTCTATTCATGGTCTCTAAATAGAGGTGAAATATATTAGTTTTGTTCTATTTCATGACAATATACTTAACTGCTGCTTCTTAGCTAATCAGCTCATAATAGTTGACTGCCTAGAAGAGGGATCAGTTAAAAGAATGTAGAAGGGCTATAGTTGATCCAGGAAAAACTCAAGTACTATCTTGCTCATGTTGTCTGTGGTGTCATATTTGTTGATGTTTCTCTAGAGCAGAGAACAGAAGTGTCACCAACAATTTGGGGAGATACCTAAACACTTGACCTTTGAGGAGAAAAAGTAGAGCTTAGAAAAGCCCACAAATTCTGAGAGAAGAACCATGAAGCAGGTACATTGGATATTTATATAATAATTTCACAGAGAAGGAAATGAAGCTGGATACTTGCCCTTTGTGTTTTCTTTTCTGGTCACCTTGTCATATTTCCACCCTCCCTGGTACTTACTATAATTAAATGATATTGAGGCTAGTTTCACAAATAAATAAATAAATCATCCTCTACACAAGCTAAAGAAATGGATTTTATATTTGGACTTTTATTTTTATAACCACAGCATATCAAATCATTTTATATATAGAAATTTTCTATACAGAGAGATGAATTTTGCAACGGTTTACAAAATTTTTATTTATACTAAACCATGTAATGATAACAAGACTATACTTATTTTAAAAAAAATCAATATGAGGTCATTTTAAAGCAATCACTGAAAAAAATCTTTAAAGGTCAAATGATAAAAATCTTTTCTAGAATATAACTGAATAAATGTTCAGTACAATTCTTGGAGCAAATATTTTCATTGCATTTTTAAATCAAAATGTTGATTAATATGCAAATAACTTAGAAAGTTCAATATTAATCAAAGGCCTTTGTTAATAAAGACAGAATTTCTGTATATACCTTGGCTTAAAAAATGTAATACCATAAATGGAGTCAAATAGTAATACAATCATAAAAGTCTTTGGCAATTTATTTAACAACACTGAAAAACACTTTAAGAATACTTATTTCATTTCACTATACTTTTATTGAATAAACATCAGCTAGGGCTATGTGCTCTTTATCATAAATGATAAGTTAATGGAAAAATGATGGCATAGTAAATTATAAAGTAATATCTCTAGCATTATATTTGAAATGCAGTGATTTTTTGTTGAATTAACTGTAATAGTTAATAAAAAAGAAATTAAAATTTATGGAGAAATTAAAATAAATGTTATCTAATTTCTTATTGAAACAAGTAATTATTTTTTATTGATGTTTGCTACCCCATACAGCTGTGAATGTACCTGTTTGTCTCAAAGAATTTATTTATCAAGCAAAAGATGATAAGAAGTAAATAAAATGTCCCCAGATTAGAATTTGCTATTAAATTTAAAACACACATCAGCTCACATTTTCCAAAATTTTTATTTCATATGTATGTGAATATTGGGAACTTTAAGAAACCTATTTTTAAAAGTCTCATGGACACATAGTAAGATCAATATACTACAATTGTAATAGTACAGAGGTTATTCCAAACCATGGGAAAAAAAAAAAAAAAAAGTTAAAAACAAACCCATGGGCTCTGATTTACATCCACCTTGTCAGCAATAAATACTACAGATGGTCTGAGTTACAGAAGAGCCAAGGAAACAAATTAGCACAATAAACAAGGTTAAGTCCAACAATGAAATCACTATGGAGACTGTAGACATAAATATATCAGCTAAAAAGAAAATAACTTATTTTTTTTATACTTTATAAAAGTTTATATACTTCAGGTTTATATACTTCTTTTTAACTACTATCTCTGCTCAAGGTGAAGCAAGGCATTTTCAATAAATGTCCTTCTCAGAGCCAGAAAATGTCTCTGAAGGTAAAGAACTAAAACATTTCCCTCATTCCTGTTACCTTGGTGGAACATGGATACATTTGAGCATAAACAATATTTAATTAACATCCAACCATACGCTAGATATTCTATCCAGGTATAGTTTATATCTACATCTAGAATACAAGTTCCTTTACATGTTGGAAGGTCCATCTCTGTAGTAAGATTGAGCATGTCCCAATTCATCCATTCACACTTCAAGCATCTCATGTGAACATCCTACACGTATTGCATGACCAGTTGCTAGCAATTATAGCCAACATAAATGTAAACCAAAGAATGGATTGACCAGAAATACTGTATAGAAAGAATTGTCCACGCTAGAATTCATATAAATCAAAAACCATTGCTGTTGAGTTGATTCCGACTCATACAGCCCTTACAGGACACACTAGAATGACCCCAAAAGGTTTACAATGCTATAATCTTTATAGTTTCAATCACCTCATATGCATGTGAGGGCTGGACAATGAATAAAGTCGACTGAAGAAGAGTTGATGCTTTAAAGTTGTGGTGCTGGTGAAGAATACTGAAAGTACCATGGACTGTGAGCAGAACTAACTAATATGTCTTGGAAGAAGTGCACATGAAATGCTTATTGGAAGTGAGAATGGCCAGATTTCGTCTCACCTACTTTGATCATGTTGTCAGAAGGGACCATTCCCTAGAGAAGGATGTCATGCTTGGTAAGGTGGAGGGTCAATGAAAAAGGGGAAGGCCCTCAACTAGATG